GTGTCAGAGGCGGTGCGGTTGGCGCAGGATAGAGCAGGGTTTAGAGCTGTTGTGCATAGGGTCGCTATGAGTTGGAAACGACTCGACGGCACATAACAACAACAACAACAACAACAACAAAGATTCATTAATAATCTGTATTATGCAGATGATACAATCTTGCTTGGCTGGTGAAATGAAGAGGACTTGAAACACTTCTTGTAGAAGATCAAAGACCACAGCCTTCAATCCTGATTACATCTCAACATGAAGAATACACAAATCTTCACCATCGGAGCGATATCAAGATAAACTGAGAAAAGACTAATGCTGTCAAATATTTCATTTAACTTGGACCCATAATCAACACATATGATACAGCTCTTAAGAAATCAAAAGTTGTTTTGCTTTGGGAAAATCGACAGTCAAGGATCTCTTCAAAGCGCTAAAGTACAAAGCTGTCAGTTTAAAGACGAAGGTGTGTCTGACCCAAGCCACGGTTTTTCAATTGCTCCCTATGCACCTGGCAGCTGGGCAGTGAGTAAGATGACAGAGGGAGGACTGACACCTTGAATTGCAGTGTTGCAGAAAAGCAGTGAATATCCCATGTGATGCCAAAAGAACAAACAAATCTGTCTTGGAGGAAGAACAACCAGGGTGATCCTTAGAGGCAAGGATGGTAAAATTTAGTTTCAGACTTTGGACATGTTGCCTGGAGGGGCCAGTGCTTGGAAAAATACATCATGCTGGAAAAGTTGAAGGGTCAGAAGATGAAGAAGACCTTCAAAATGTAGACACAGAGAGACTGTAACAACGGGCTCAAACATACCTGAAATAATGAGGATGGCAGAGGATAGGGCAAAGTTCAGTTATTTTGTTCTTAGGGTCACTAGGGTTAGCCATGAGTTGATTCTGACTTAAAGGCAGTAGGTTGGTGAATTGAGTGGTGTGCTGGTGAGAGATTTGACAATAATTTGGATAGTGTCATCAAGTTATCCCTATCCTTTTGAATATCTTAGGCATGGCTGAAAACATCTGGCTTGCTGTTGTTATGTGCTACGGAGTTGGAATCAACTCATAGCTGACCTGTCAGTGTGTTTCCAGAGGTAGTAAATGGCACAGGAAGAAGCTGTCCATTTTTTCTCCTGCAGCCCAGCTGGTGGATTCAAAACATGTTCCTTTGAGTGAGCCGGGCAACTCCTTATCACTGGGCTAAGAGGGTTGTTGTTATGTGCCAGTTGGAACTAATCCTTATTAAATCCCATGGGAAGAGACTGCCCAGCCTTCTCCTGTGGAGCAGCTGGTGGGTTAGAATTATGCAACACATCCTGGTGGTGCCTAGCAGGACTCAACTGTGGATAGTGAACTTGAGAATTCCTTTGACAATGACTTTATAAGTAGTTTAGACAGAAAACTTGGGCTCATTTCAGAACTGTCAACAGCGAAAGTGCTGGTAGGTTTCTGGAATGAACACTTGTCTAGAATGGTTTTGAGAACTGCTGTATAAGTTTTCACTCTTTTAGCTATGACAAAAAAAAAGCAGCACAAGTAACACATTGATTTTCCAGTTTGCCTGCAAACAGACTGGCTTTTGTTCTCGCCTGCTCTGACCACCAGCCTGGCAGATTACAGACGGCCACTGTAGGAGTCCCCTCTGAGCACCATGCCATCAGCTGTTTGCTCACCTCGACAGACGTCTTATTATTGCCCAGGCCAGCAGGCTGGCAAGCCAGGCAAACTGTGTGTGGACAAGATAAACAGATAAAATCCGGATAAGCTGACAAGGCTATGCTCATGAAGCATTCTGAGACTGTAATGTCAACGAGAATACTCTAACAAGCAGCTGAGGAGGGGTGTATTTCTTAGAGGAATGGAGAGGAACAAAAAGAAGATGGAGAAGTGTTCTTAAACTCTAGTTCTAGTTGTGAAAGCCAGTTGGCCTTGCCTTGAAGGGATCTCTGTCCACAGTGCTGAGTGGAAGATAGAACTAGCCAAGATGGCTAAATCATGGTCAACCGAGTGACAGGAGATGGGAGGCTTCCTCTCCTCTAAAAATCTGCCTGTTTTCAGGACTTCTCAGGACTTTCACCTGTTTATTCATTTAAGACTGATGTCATCAGGAAGGAAGGGGAGCAGAGTCACAGGCTGTAAACTGATCCGGGACAAACAAGTCTTGGAAATCTTAAAGATTTCTTAGAAGGGAAGAGCAATTATATAAAAGCAAGTCAAGAGTGGAAAGGTAACCACCAGAGAGAAGCTATGTGAAAATCATAAGACTTGCTTGA